TTTGGGTGACACCAATTCTCTGACAGACCCCAGTAACCGAAGGGTGGCGAGGAACGTGGTCAAGTATGAGAAGCTGCTGGAGATGGGGACGGTGGTGAGCACCGAACCCTTGAGACGCCCCAACAGCACCCGCCTGCAGAGCCGCGACGCCTACGAGGAGCTGTGCCAGCGCCCGGGGGGGCAGGTGGGGCTGCCAGGGGGTTCTCATGATCCCCCACCCCACCATTGTCCTCCATCTCACACCTTTCTTGGGTCTTCTTTCTCCTCAGACAGCCCTGGATCATCTCCCGCTCCTTGGTTGCTCCTACGAGACCAACGGCAGCCCCTACCTCCTTCTCCAGCCTGCCAAGAAGGAGATGGTCAGGATCCAACCCTACGTGGCTTTGTACCACGATTTCATCAGCGACGCCGAAGCTGAGACCATCAAGGGGTTGGCAGGGCCCTGGGTGAGCTGTCCTTGTCCCCTGGGATGTCCTTCTCCTGGAGGAGGGTGCTCCAAGAGCTGGTGGTCCAGGGTGGACCATCCTGAGCATGCAGAGATAAGAGGGGTTTTAAGCCATGGCTTATCCAAAGCCTTCTTCATCAAGACCCTGGGGTGGGATGGACCCAGCTTAGCTCCATCTGAGCCCCTCAAAGGATTTTGGGGAGAAACCAGGTCCATGGATGTACCTAAACCCCTTCCTAGCCAAGCTTGACTTGGTGGCACCCAACTGTGTTGGATCCAACTGCTATCACGGTGGTGGGACATCTTGGGTTGGGGATGTTTGGCAACCAACTGGTATAAACCCACCAATTTCAAGCCCAACGGGGGTTCCTGCTTGGTGTGGTGGTCTCCATCTGCAGTAACATCTCTCCCACCATGTGTCCTCCAGCTGCAGAGGTCCGTGGTTGCCTCTGGGGAGAAGCAGCAGAAAGCTGATTACCGGATAAGCAAGAGGTAGTAGCCACCCCCTCCCTTGTCCTCCAACCAGGAGGACCATCATGGTCCCATTGCCACCACCAAGGTGGTAGTGAAGCCACACTGGGGAGCCTGGGTCCTCCACACCCAACACAATTGTGAGGGTTAAACCCAACCACACGTGAATTTGGGGGGGTCTGAAGGTGAGGTGATCCCACAGCGCCTGGCTGAAGGACACTGCTGACCCGGTGGTGAGGGCGTTGGAGCAGCGAATCGCTGCCGTCACCGGCCTGGACCTGCGGCCACCCTACGCCGAGTACCTGCAGGTGGTCAACTATGGGTTGGGAGGACACTACGAGCCACACTTCGACCATGCCACGGTCAGGGAGCTGCTTGGGTGGTCATGGGGTGGTGTCCAGGGTGGTTTCTCTGGTGCTTTTGGGATTGTCCTTGTGATCCTGGGATGGTTCTTGAGGTGGTGTCTTAGATGGTCTCCAAGGTGGTTCATGGGATGGTCCCTGGGATGTTCTTGGACATGGTCCTTGTGGTGGTCTTTGGGGTGGTTTCTGGGCTGGTCCCTGGGGTGGTCCCTGGGATGTTCTTGGACATGGTCCC